TCTGTGATGGTTCTCTTTTGCGATAAAGTTTAGCGATCATTCCTCTTTTATGATGAAGTCTTGCATAATCCTCTTGAGTGACGAAATCCCCCGATGATCCTCTTCTGTGACGAAGTCCCACAATAATTCTCTTCTGCGACAAAATTTCACAATGATTCTCTTCTGTGATAAAGTCCTGCGACGATTCTCTTCTATGATAAAGTCTCATGATGATTTTCTTTTATAACAAAGTTACTGTAACTGATTTTCTTCTACGACGAAGTTCAATCTCTTTTACTCTTACAATGAAGTCGTATGATAGTCCTCTTCTGCAACAAAATCCCGTAATAATCCTTTTGTGCAAGGAAAAAATTTTTCTTTTACAATAAAATTTTACGATCCTCTTCTGTGTTGAAGTCTCACAATAATCCTCTTCTACGATAGTCCTACGATAATTCCATTGAAATTCCGTAATGATCTTCTGTAACAAAGTTCCACAATGACCCTTTTTTGCAATGAAGTCCCGATGATTTTTTTTAACGAAGTTTAGTGATCATTCTTTTCTACGATCTTAATCTATGGTAAAATTCCGTCGCGATGACTTTCCGCGACGAAGTTTAATGACGATTCTTTTCTATGTCAAAGTTCAATGATTACTCTTTTCTGCGATGAAATCGATGATCCTCTTCTGCATTAGAGCTCTATTATAATTTTTTATTCAACAAAATCTTGCAAAAAAAGCTTTCTGTAATGAGTTGTAATGAATTTCTTCTGCTAGAAAATCTTAAGAGATTTTCTTTTATATTTCAGAATTCCAAAATTTTTTTTTGCAATAAAATCCAGCAACGATTCTTTCCTGTAACGAGTCGCACAATGGATCTTTTTGTGTGAAGTTTTTTATTTTTTGTGCTACGTAAATCCGTAAAATTTTTTTTCCGATGAAATCTCTCATAATTATTTTCTGCAACGAAATCGCGATGTTCTCTTCTGTGACAAAGATTCGCAATAATAATTCCATTGTGCAAAAAGTGTAAAATTGTGTGAAAAGTCCCCCAATATTTTTTAAATTTTTTCATCTCGTCTACAATTTTTTCTTCCATAGTTCTTCATATGCGCGCGGGCAAATATAGTGTTTAGAAAAATAAATCTATAAAAAAAAACAAACATAATTTTTTTGACAATACGAATGTATAGATATAATTACAAGTGCAAACAACATTACTTACTATTTTTAAAAAAAGATGTTATTTCTCTGAAACTTTGCATATCTTATATCAATGCTCTTGAAAAAATCCAATTCATTGCAAATCCTGTGACAATTGCGTTGAAGACCCAAAGTAATTCCTTTTTTCGACGAGGTTTTAGTTAATAAAGAATATCACTGATCTAGCGGATGATGAATGGCATATATCACAAAAGACATGTTTCCAGGAAAAGAAAAACCTTTCAAGATTTCAAAAGCAGCCAATGACAAAGAAATCCTAGACCAAACTTGTACGCTCGTATGATCGGAGACAACATCGAATTCCGATGATAGATAATTGATCGACTACGTTTGTGCCTCTCTGAAACGTTCCGTTGGTAGGCAAAGTTTTAGAGAGACAGATAATTTATAGTATCTCTATGATTGATGCGGAATTTCAAAAACAAGAAAAAGAATACAAGATTAATTCGGGAGGCACCAAAGAACAGGGCAATACGCAAGGCTGCTCGTGATACAAAGGAACAAAATGAAATGATTTTTGTTCATTCAATTCCTATTTAAATTTAGACACATTAAATATAACAGGATGAAATTTAAGTCAATCTTAATTTTAATTTACCTCATTGATTTAATGACTCAATTTAATACAAAGGTGCAACAGAAATATGCAATAAGAAACTTATAATGAATTAGCTTTTAAATAAAAGCTTTTCGCTCCTCTCGAATTTTTTTATTGAAATATTAAGTTGAATTAAATATCCTATGAGATTTACTAAAGCTTTTGAAAAAGCCAAAGCTAATGCTAATTTCTCAACACTTAATAATTAAACAATTAATCGCTTAAAAAAGCAATACTAATTTCTTAACACTCAATATTAAGTGAATAAAAAGATAAGATAAAGGTTCTCTTTTCTAGAAACTATTACTTGAATGAAATCTTACAGCTGTTGCTTACCTCTATTGCTGAATTCCACATATTTTTCTTAATAAATTATTGTATTGTTATTAACATGTTCTTTCTTTCTCTCTCTTAATTGTTATCACTGTCATCTCATTTTCCTCTTCTCAATTACTTGTATTAAAACCCATCACTCAAAGGCTATACAGTTTACACAAATCCATATAATTAATATGGATCAAACTTTGTAATTTGCATCCTCTTCGAAAAAATAGTGTTTTCACAATTTTTATAAAAATTCGCCTTTTTTGTTGTAAACTTAAATATATATCTTGAAGAGATCAAATCTTCATTGAAGATGGAATAAAATTTTTTGCAACATAACTTGCTAAATTTTTCGCCAAGCTGAACTTCAACGCTTTTATCATTTTCTTTCCAACTAATATATAAATTTTCGTATATCTCTGTTTCCTTAAAGAACCATAGTATACGTCGTCACATTATGTACATATTATTGCCTTAAACGATTGAATTGTCTTACTCATTCTGTGACTAGAATTCAAATATAACATCATGATTCAAATGACCGCTTTCTGTGGAAAAACAAAATGGTATTTGATCCCACCCTTGATCCCCATACCCCTTCCCCATACCTCCTATAAATGTCTAAAAAATGAATAGAGATCTATATACTGACGATCGTAATAAATAAAATATAATATACCTCTTTCTCTCTCCCTCTCTTTTTCATCTTTCGAGATTTAAAATCAATACCTTCAAAAAATAAATCTTTTTTTCATGTTATACTTTCCTTTAGATTAAAAGATTCAGTATTTATTACTTGAATAGATTTTTTTTTATTCTACGTGTATATGTGTGTGATGTGTGTGAAAATAATATATCTTCAATCTCTTCTACAAATAAAAAAATTTTTAAGAATGTGTATTCAAATCACATTACGATAATTCCATTTTAAAGTAACAATGAAAATAAAATGATTTGAAAAAAATAGTCCAAAACTGTCTTCGGATTCCCAGATGTCCTTAAAAATTCCAAATGTGCTTCAAATTCTTAAAGTCTTGAATTATTAAACTTTCATATCCTTAACTACTTGCGTGGATTATTGGTTTAAATTCTATATCCTTAAACTTGATTCGTTCCAAGATTTTGAAACTTGTAGATCTGTGGGCTCAGCGCATCTTTGTAGAAGTTTCGAAAAAATTTTATAGATTCCAGTGAATATACATCTCTTTCAACTAGCCTGGTACATTCAAAGCATGAGACACGATTATCCCTAGCAATCTTGTGGAAAGCTTCTTATCACCATCTCGAAACATCTTCCAAGCATATTTCCTTTCATTATCATCGAGTGAAGTAGTGATTTCCTATGACTCATAAAAACATTGTTTTGTCCCACCCCAATCCCCTCTCACATTTGCATGCGCGCAAGGTACAAAGATCAAGGATCATCAAAGACCTTTTTCTTTCGTTACCTTTATCATTCGTACACGACACACGATCCCAGCATTATTTCCTGATGATCGCAGAGCATCTTAGGTTGCCGAATGTGCAAATAGTGAATATGTCAGGGTTGTTCTTTTTAATCTGTGAAAGATTTAGATGCTTTCGTTCTGCCGCCTGCTGTGTAAAACACAAAGAAAACCGAGCAAAACAAAATGCAATATATAACGAAATGCAAAACAATAGATATTACAATCGTAATAAGGAACAATAGCTATAGTTATATTAGCAAATTTTACTCTCGTTCTTTCTTTCAAACCGTCTAGAATCTCCACGATGATCACGCTCGACAGACTGCATTTTATCCTCCAACAAAATCCATTTTATACGGGACCGCCACGTACAATCTTATATTATTTAAACTATCATCTTCATTATTCATTGGTCGAATGGGCCGAGTTTTTCCAAATGCATACAGTTTTCTGTTAATCAAAAAGATCTTATTTCTAACCCCCTCCTTCCTTCGGCTCTCCAATATTTTTCGACATATTTCTCCCTTCAACTTTATAAAAGAAATTTCAATAGAAAATTGCATTTTTCTAAAGTTAAATATATATTAATTCTTACCAAACAAATGCCTGTATTATCAAATTGAAATCAACGTCTAGTTAGTATCAACAAGCATATCTAGTTAGCAACTAAATTTTTCTAGAGTGTATCCATATAAATCCAAATACATACATATTATATTTATCCAGAATAGAGTTAACACAAAGCGTTACCAATCGATATTTATACTACTCTTGCTATTCGAGTTGTATGTCTGTAATAGTATCTGTTTTCTTGCTCTCACTTTATTTAATCATGACTTTGTCTCTCTTTATATATTGTTTATATCTGAATTTAAATCCTTAGAGCAGTAGGCTAAGATTGAAATCCGGTGATAAAAATGCCTAAAATTCTTTTCGAATGTCCTATACTCCGATTTTAGAAGTTTTTGGATAAAAAGAATAGATTAAGATTCCTATGTTTAGGGGATATCTCGAACTGCAGAATTCTCGAATCTTCAGATTTTTTTATAACATTAATTTTATAACATTATGACATTAATTCGATATTGAGTTTATTGAAAAACATATTATTGTCTATTTTGATCAAATGAATAAAGATAAAATTCTATTTGAATTAAAATGAACATCACCGAATCAAGCCTAATACTTTTATGATTTCTCATACACAATGTATCCTTGCGCATATACTCTCTCTTAATCAACACTCTTTCGCATCCTTCGCTCGCTGTTTCCAGTAATTCCCGCTCTCTGAATGTCTAAAACACACGCATTAACATTCTATCCCGATCACGGTTCGAGTATGGCCAAAAATGGCATGGCCGAAAATTGCGCAAATCTATGGACACATTATTATGGCAACGCCAAACAAATGTGACATTTTTTTCATCAAATATTAAACAGGAGAAACTTTCGGTAACTCTTAAACAGATTTATTCACATGCTTGAATGAGCGAGTTACCTTACTTGGAATATACTTGTAACCTGTACGGGATCGTGTTTCCACATCTGAAGACCTTATATTATTCAATGAGATGAATGGATCTGTTCTGGACCTGGGAAACCAACCGATTCGGGGGAATGGAAGCTCACCGCATGAAAGCCATTTCTCATCATTGTAGTTATCACGCAGAGTTCATTATTACGATGATTCGTGCAGAGGATAATTCGTTCCGAGGGTAACTCCGATTCGACCAGTCTCTAGAAACAAAGATTTTTTCCCTCCCTCTCCATCAAAACGCAAATATACTCCCCTCTAGTTTTCTCTTTTTCGTTCATTGGAATCTTATAGGTACAAGTTTTCTAAGCCGATGACGACGCCGACATCGACACCGACGTCGTCCTTGTTGACAGTCGATAGCCCTCTGTTCGCAATAAGATGTGTATTTTCTATGACGTCTATTGTGCCATACTGAAAAGGATTGATGTATTAATACTTAATTTGGTAAATAGAGAAGTTGAAAAAGAATTATTTTACATTGTTATTTGTAAAATGTATTTATTTATCTTACATTGTTGTCAATACTCTTCGCTTCATCTTCTTATTTAATCTGTATCACAGTTTTCTATTATTTACAAATAGACTTAATACAAAAAGTATCACAATGACTTACAACTTACAGTAAATGAGATCCTTTGTTTTATTACTTTGATCCTAAACAGCATCTTAAAAATATGCAAGAAAAATTCATCGATATTAAAAAAAGCCATGGTAAACTATGCACGATAAATAAAGTTTTGCAATCAAAAAATTTATAATTTTATAAATAAAGGAATACATCTACATTATACTTGTAATGTAATATGCCTCATATCTTTTAAAAATTAATTGTTTAGGACATACTGTTTAGGATCAAAAAAAGTTAAATACTACAATGATTAAATTATTATCACAATGCAAGGCAGTCTTATGTTGAATTTACATGATCCTTCAGATTTCCAAGGAACTTGAAAATATTTTTAAAATAGCATAAAAAATTTTCTTCTTTACATTTTCTATGAGTATTTTACTATACACATGATATATTATGTAATAAATTTTAAATAGTGAAAGTACTTTGGTTTTGATAGTTTACAAACCAAATCGGCGACAAGCAGGAGAGCCACTGTATATGCGCGCGCATAATCCTGAGACATCGCTTGCATCTGCATTACAGCTACTCTTTCGCTCTCTCTCTCCCTCTCTCTCTATCTCTCTCTCCCTCTCTTTCTTTCTACTCCTTTCTTCCCACTCGTGTCCGTTGCCATTTCAAACGGTGAGACTGCAATTAAAAAATATCCAGATATATACCAGGGCGACGATAAAGCTGGAAAGATTGCCGTGACATTGCAGGCTATTTGGTCAAACTTCTGGAGATGCCGAAGACATTGCCGATATCAAGATAGATTTCTGTTGAAAAGAGATTTGCCCAAATTGTTTGTGGCTAGTGAGCCAAAATCTGCTGCTCTGCTCGATCAAGAAGAAACAACCAGCGAAGAGAGACATCGATCCATGGATTGCTTGTTAAACATATGCTCATTGTAGAATGCGCTACAATCGATTCAAATCTACTAGATGCACCGATAGAAATTACTAGATGCACCGATAGAAATTACTAATTTATGCGCAATATAAATGGCTTTCCTGGTTCAGAGATATAATCCAGCTGTTTGTTACACAGAGACTTCCTCGCACGATCCAATAACCATGTGTATAAGCCAAAGCATATGCTTTCCAAGTCTAGTCACCGCTGCAAGGTCGTTTTAATTCCGCTAAGCTGCCGCAGGAAATCCATCAGACTGCTAAGATCCTCACACATATTTTCTCGCCAAAGATCGTTCGAGACAGGACGCTGATCGCATCTCTCATACTCCCGTTCGGTCGCATTATACACACCGCAACTCCCATATTCCACACCTTTGAGGAGGTCCTTCCTCAATCGCCGCCAGCGGGATATTCTCGACAGTTGTTTAACTCGTAGCTCACATTCCGCCTTGTGCAGGGCGTGCGTCAGCACAGCCTCCACACGGAAGTCACGTTTCGGACTCCTGTGGCATTTCAGCTTCTTCTGACGCACGTTAGTGATCCACCTGGTCAACTGTTCCGTATGGCTCGGCTTGCCCATCTCGATCTCACGCGGTCTCTCTTTGTCGTCTCTCGTCATCGACAATTGCTCCACACTCCCGCGGGTAACGACTAATCTACCCGTACGTCCCATTGTACAACTAAGTAACTTGATTAATTATCGAATGCACCAACCTGTATTTAGTTTAAGCTTGGCTGATCATTCAGTCGCAGCAACCGTTCTCTAGGGCACCCATGTACAAACACATGAGATCCTGCCCACACGCTCGATGAGGGCTCACGAAATGGAATGGCCGCGCGACGCTCGAGTGGGAGATTATATGCCCGAGCGGCCGTTGTTATACTGTAACCTTACGCGTTCGCGCACGAAATAGTTCTACATTTACGTAGAAAAATACGTTGAACGTTGCAACTTTCTCACATGATTGGCGATCAAATTCATTAATTTAGAACAGGGAAAGTCTCTCGGAATTAATTCAGACACGAATTATCGCCCAAGAGACAAAAATCGATGCAGCCAAGAAAACGAACTGCGGCGTAGTAAACTGCGTAATGTGTGTAATGCGGTTTCTACGCCGCAGTGTCGTATACCGTTATAGGCATGTCTCTGCTGCTTTGACGTCGCCATATTTCTAGAAACGTACAGTCAGTCGCAAAAATTTCCACTTCCAAGTTAATGTGATAAAGAAAATTAAAAGAAAGCTGGAAATAAGATATCATTTTCATTGGCACTGTGCAGCGCCCCCCCCCCACACCAGAGAGATATATATATATATGTATATATATATATATATTAATAAATTTTAAATTAAGTATATTTAAGTTAATTTACTATAATTTACGTACTATTAAATTAACTAATAACTAACTATTTAAAATTTTTAAAAATTTTTAAATTTTAGGTTAGTTTAACTAACTTAATTCCTACGGTAGTTTAGTTCCGTACTACCGGTAAACGGAACGAACGGACGAACTAGTCTTCTAAATTAAAGTAAGTAAAGTTTTAAGGTTAGGAAGTTTACCTAACTTTTACTTTAAGTACATTGTAATAATCGAACATATACGCACGCATGTGTGTGTATGTGTGTATGTGTGTGTGTGTGTATACACATATATAAGACATAACAGTTATATATACGCAAAATAATGTCAAAAGTAATGATTATATTTGAACGTAACATATAAGATATAACTATGTTACTGTTATTGTTGCTAAAAAATATGTCTACTAATTCACTATTGAAAAGAAAATAATGATAACGGCGTTATAACTTAACCGATATTCCTTGCGTGCAAATCTTTGCACGCGTTAGTCATATAATCTTGTACGAGATTTTCGTTCGACATTTTCATCGTGCATATAAAAACGTACACAATATGTGAACAGGATATTGCGCACAAAGTTTGTCGGCCATTTGCTGTCTTTATGACGCTGCACTGGGAGATTTTGTTTGCGCAATATGATGAAATTTACGCAAAATGTTTTCTGAAAGTTCTCCCTCTCCCCCTTCCCTCTTTACATACTACTCTACACTATGTTATACTTTCTAAGCATTTATAAAACAAAATACGAACAATATATAATTAATTAAAGAAAAAAAAGAAAAATGAGCAGTATAAAATATTCATTTATCGAGAATAAATTACCAGAGTTTTTCAATTTTTTTATATGCTCACAACATATTTTCAAGAAAAAAATAAAAGAACATAAAAATAAAAGAACATAAGTATTTCACAAAAATATATTTTATATCAAATAAACATATTTATATTATATTAGATAGATAGATAATGCGAAAGATTATGCGGTATGAAATTTGTGTTGAATGAGTTGATATTAATTAGTTTTGATATTTAGATTAAATATTTATTTTTATATGTGAAATAGATTTTAATGTCTCAATTCTGATTAAATTTCTAAGAGTCTATTCTTTTAGATTTCATGAATTTTATTTTATGATGCAATACTATATACTTTTTAAAAAATTAAATTTTATCTTTTATTTAAATATTTAATAGTGGATATATTAGACTTTTTCAAAAAGCTTATAAAAATATCATAGATGGTGCAAGTTACAATATTATTGGAAATAATGATTATATATAATGATTATATTTTCTTTACTAACAAGATTAGATTTTTATTCTTAAAATAATTATTTCGCTAGTCATATAAAAAAATTTAATTATATCGTACGAAAATAAAACTCAAATTATTTAGTTGTAATATATTATTATATATTTTAAAGTTTATATAAATATATGTTATTATTCTACATCAGTGTTCAGAATTAATTGCCCTTTTGAAAGATTAGTGCCCCCCTTTACATAAAATAATTATATTATCTTATTTACACAAGTAGATTTAAAAAGATTAAGTTATAATATAGTAAATAAAATAAATATCTATAGATTTATCTTATGAAATATCAATGGATAGTAAAATAATGTCAACAATTCAAGATATTGAAGAGTGAGTGATTAGAATGTATAAAATGATTTCTATAGATTAAATTCCAGCATCGCCCCTATAATTTAAACGGATTTATTAATATTAATATGAAATTTAAAAACTATAGCGATATGTCAATTGTTAATAAAGAATATGAATCACACACACACACACACACACACACACACACACACACACACAAAATAT